CCGAGGGGGTACCCCCTCTTGGTGGACATGAGGAGGGCGGGATCGTTTTTACCCACAAAGGTCGACTTGAGCAGCGCGATGCCCGCGATCAAGAGGACTACAGGGAGGACGGCGCCAAAGATCACGGCTCGCTTGTCGCGCTTGGCGGTGCGGAAACGTTTCTTGAACAGCGCCACAAACTGCATGCCAAACATCGCCAGCGCGGAGGGCGGGATCGCGGGCAGTTTGTTTCCAGAGATGTTGCTGTTAGTGTTGAGGTCTTTAGGCGTCTTGTGGACGAGTGTGTGCTGCTGGTTCTCGTCGCCCAGCTCGGCCACTTTGATAAACACTTCCTCCATCGTCGTCACGGAAATGCCATACGAGACCACGCCCAATTGCGTCATGTGATGGTCTAGGTCGGCAAACATCCCGCCAAACAACGGCGCGCAGTCCAGCGGCAGTTGGAACGCGATCTCCGTCCCGACGTTGCTCAGCACGTTCGCGCGGCCGTGGACGTGGTTGTTGACGAACGCCAGCAACACGTTCGTGTCACATGTGTCGGTCTTGACGAGGGAAAAGTTGTACCCCGCGCCGTACCGGTTCTTGAGGAACAGGGACGAGCCACAGCACCGGAGGTCCCCTTCGGCCATGATGGCGATGCGGTCGCCGAGGATGTCGGCTTCGTCCATGAAATGCGTCGTGAGCACCACGATGCGGTTCTGGCGATTGTTCATGATGATCTCCCAACTGCTTCGACGGCTGTACGGATCCATCCCGGACGTCGGTTCGTCCAGAAACACGATCTGGCTGTCGCCGAGCAAGGCAATGGCCAGCGACAGCTTGCGCTTCATCCCCCCCGAGAGGTCGCTGGACCGAGCGTGGCGCTTCTCCGTGAGCCCCACCTCCGCAATTGACGCATCCACTTGGTCCAACATAGCTTGACCAGAAAAGCCCTTGATCTTGCTGTACAGGACCAAGTGCTCTTCTACAGTCAGCTCCGCGTACAAGACGTCGTGCTGGGGACAAACGCCCATGGACCGACGGATCACTGCCATGTCATCGGTCAGCGACAGGCCGTTCACGGTGGCGTCGCCCCCCGAGATGGAGATCATGCCCGTCAACATGGAAATCAGAGTCGTTTTCCCCGCTCCGTTGTGGCCCAGCAAGCACGTGATTTGGTTCTTGTACATGGTTAAGTTGAGACCTTTCACCGCGACTTTGCCGCCGTCGGGGCCAGGGAACACCTTGCGCAAGTTTCGGATCTGCAGCGCGTCGCCCGACACTTCTTGCTGCTTGAGCTCCATCCCCACAGCTTCAATGGCACTACTGTTGACGTCCACGTTCAGCACGACAGCCCCCCCTTCAACTCTGTCGTCGTGACGCGAGGATGGCTGCTTGGACGATCGGCGCCAATAACTGGGAGACACGGGGAAGTACCATGCCTCAGTCACGCCATAGTCTTTCGGCACAACGCGTTCAAGGTACAGACCCAGCACAGTGTACACTACCGAGTCGACCAAGAGGAGGACCAACGCCGTCGAGAACTTGTAGCTCTTGATGGATTCATTCACGTTGTCGAAGGTAATACCCACGCCGTTGGTTTCGGATGCGGCCAAGTTGTTAACCCCAAACACTAGTGCCACGGGGGATAAGAGCGACGCCAAGACCTTGGACGCGGCGGTCGATTCGTTGGTGAATGCCGTGGACACGACGTACATGAGCAAGAACCCAATCACGCCCAGATACGCCCCCACTTTGGCCTTGGAGAAGATCGCACTGACCATGTACGCATACGCGAGCAAGCTGCACGAGAAGAGCCAAAAGAACAAGAACAAGAGCACCACGCTCGAGTGATTGAAAAGGACAGCGCTGGCCACCCCCGCCTGCACCAACGACGCCACAAACAGCATGACGCCGTACGTGATGTACCAGCTGCCGACGATGGCCACGTCCGGCACGCCCAGAATCTTAAGCAGTTCGCGGGTCTTGGTCTCTTTTTCCGAGATGAGCGCAACTAGAATCGCAGACAAGCATTGGATGTACGACAGCACAAACACAATGCCAAAGATGTAGTCCACGGCCTCGAAGAAGGGGGAAACGGTGAACCCCATCACGGGGAACGGAAACACGAGGCCCCCGCCCGTGGCTTGGGGGAGCAGCCGAAGGGGCTTGATCAAGGGTTCGTATGCTGACTTAGAGATGTTGGTTGTGAACGTGTACGAGGAATAGTACGTAGTCGAAGTAGAAAACGTAGAGGCCAAACGGGTGTCGTTGAACACTTGCTGCAGCAGCATCGCATCCACTTGAGGGGTGGCGGCTGCGACAGCGTTCGGCATGGTGCAAGTGCCTGTGGTTTTGCCATCCTTCCAGTCGGGCACACACGTGGCAAAGCGTGTGACGAGGGTCTGGAGGGTGTAGAACCCCTCACGGGCGTATGCTCTGTGGGCGTCGGGATCGAGGCCACGCTGGAGCAAGTCCACTACATCCCCAGAAGTACGAGGCACGACATTGTATCCAAAGCTGCCGGTGGTCGTGTTGAAGCGAAGAGAGTACTCAATGTTCCCAGGAGTACCCAGCGTCGATGGCATCGTCGTGAACACGATCGCCGCTGCCAACGGAGGCGAGTCGAACGTCACACCATATCGCCCATCTACAAATCAAATGTAAGGTCAGATGCTAGTCTATAGAGTATAGGTAGGTATAGTTGTGTACCTGTAATAGAATCCTCCAACGCTTGTTCGTTGGGGAAAAACACTACCGAATCGGCAAACGACGGTACTGCGATGTTGGATGTCAATTCCACACGAGGGTACCATTGGCCCACAGCCTCGGCAAAGTACTGCCTCGTGAACGTGTTGTCGGGCACGATGGCGATCTTTCTGGGCAGCCCCAACGACTGGCATCGAGGTGGCCACGCATACGGAGACGTGGGGTTGGTACTGATGTGACCAGCCAAAGACGCATTGCGACAGGTTGTGGACACAGCTGGGTCACCTCCGTAGCCATTTTTGTTCGACCCGAGGTCCAGAAGGAGCCCAGTCATGGTCGCCTCAGTTTGAACGTAATTCGTGTTGGGGCTGGATCCGCGATACAAAGGGTCCGACGGACCGAACCAGGTTGCCCACCCCGTGCCTCGAGTTGTGTCGGTAATTTGGGATTTCAAGTACCCCAGCAGGGCAAGGAGGGCGATGGGCAGCACCACCTCGAACAGTGTCTTGATGGGGTGTTTTCGCTTCAGCCGGACATTCTTCCAAAGCAGCGTGCGCGTGTAGCCATTGGGCTTCGCTGCCTCCATCGCAGCGGAGCCAGGGGCTGCTGCTGCTGCTGCTCCTGTTGAAGATGCCATCAAGTTGAAAAGTGAGTTTGGGTAGGTCGTGTCCAAACTTTGGAATGTGAGTGTGACACTGCTGTTTCAAACGTCTACTCAGCATCCATCAGCTGTTTCGACATCGGTCAATCTTTGAAATGTCCCCGCAACTCACATATGTACGTATGGGCGCCGCTCCGTGACAACTTGGTGTCCGTACCACGATCCATGATTGGTAGAAAACAAGCACACTGAATTTTTGAACCAATCACCTGCAACAGATTTTGTGTTGGAGACGTGTACTATGCCTCAACACGAAATCCCATAGAAACATATTCCAATGAGGCACGAAATATAATGCCACGGACCTGCTGGTACCGGTAGGTACCGGGCTGGTGTAACTAAGCAAGTAGTAGCGGAGTGCATGGGCCACTCGCCACACAATGAGAGCGGGTGACAGGTATTTGGAGTTTGGTACGTTAGCTTACCAGTACATGCGAAGTGAAACGTGCACCGTACTATTCAATACTAGTACCATTAATACGTAGTACTGGTCCACATTATTGTAGTACAGTACCCTCGTTCTTCTCGGAAACACTTTGCCTTGCCAGGATACATTACAGTACCGGTACAACTCCCTCATTAACTGTACTAGTAAACAGTGTACTACCACTGATATTTTTCTCAGAAAACACTGCCATTGGCGAGTTACAGTAAATTACATGGGGCTTTGTATGCTCTGACCATATCACCACTTACTATTAATAGGGGTTAAATGCATCTCACTGGTTAGCGAAAGCTAACCTCTGCTGATGCAATTAACCCCTACAACAGTGATATGGTTTACAGTTACGAGGGAATTATTCTATACTCCGTCAGAATTATGTTATTACACCATTTTGCGGTTATTTTCGAAAAATATCTCGTGGAATACCATTTAAGTTCGCAGTGTTACGTTTGCTGTTAATTTCCGCGGGTGACGTTGTATTGATTTCGCTCATTATATTTCGTGGTTGATTCATAGGATTTGCAAAACATCAATAATATATAACTTTAAAGTATTCGTGGAAACGACCATTATAATTCGCATCCATTCTGTTACGTTACAGTCACTGCAAGCAGTGTTCTTGACCCATTGAAGTTGAAGTCCCAAGCTGCCTTTTCAAATTCGCCTCCATGTCACAAGATTGGGAATCCCGACCTTGTTCCTGTACCGCTTTATGTGTCTAAAATGTTGTGTTTTACTGTTAATAAAGTACTATTATAGTAGGATTGTACTAACTTACTACATACAGTAGTAGTACATTTGGTAGGGCCAATGCGAGTCAACAGACAAATATATTTAGTTAATCAAAGTAATGCCAGATGGTGCATCTAAATGCATAGATATAATTGGTGGATACCTGCCAATCATAATCTGTATACAACATATTGCATCTATTTCATTGGCGGAAAACTTCTACTGATCGATCATTCAAGGTGGGTGGGGTACTGTAATCGCCAATATGTGAGTGAGTACATCAGCAAACCTTCGCCATAAATGTGAAATCTTCGCCAAAATGTAAGCGCACTTTACTATCGCACTTAACAAGTATTACATTGTAAATCCAATCTTTGGACAAAACCACAAATTGTTGGAGCAAGATTGATTGGCACAGAATCTCTCAGTTATGCAGACAATATTCACTTTCAATTCAACAACGCCACCATGAGTCTTGCTCTTGGAATGGAATTTCACTCAGGCTAAGCCTTCGTGGACTACTGTAGTATGTCTAAATTTACAGTGTAATATTTGTTAAGTGCGATTCTTTGTTAAGTGCGCTCACAGGGTTGCTGATATACTCACATAGTATTGGCGATTACCCAACTCACATTTTGATAACCAATTTAGGATAATATTTTTATCTTGAAGTATGAATTTGTAAGGGCATTGAAATTCTATGATGCACGTCATCTAAAAACTTCCAACTGGCCAAATCGAAGAGTGTAGGTTTTATTATTTAACGTACAATTAATGTAGTTAAACCCAAAAACCAAAACGTTAAGAGCCTGTTCCAATTACTTTTCAATATGGGCATTATCCAATCAAAACGCTCCCCAACTCATTCCAAAATCCATTTTTCAAAATGGGGTACATGACCCCAATTCATCCCATTTTGGGCACCTCAGCTATTTCGCCAATGACTGGCTAATAATGGATGCCCACTATCCAATCATTGATCCCAATCCCATTCCAACTTTTCAATTTGACATCATGGACTCGACCACTGCCGTGTAGTTGCTGCCGTTGGCGCCGCCTTTCGATCGACGGACGTAGCAACCGCGCCCCTGCCATCACCACTGTTGTCGTACCCAGTACCACGTGGCAGCAAGTCAAGTCCGACGGCACATACGATGGATGGTTCACGCGCCACCTGCGCTGCACCCGCCACACCTTTCTGTGCATCGCCGATAATACTGTGTTATTGGCCAATCAGCATGCATCTTAGTCTAATGATTTATGTCCAGTCAATCATGGTCATAGAATGGGTAGAAAATGGGATGAAATATTTTGTCACCACATTTTTCGTTTTTTTCCAATTCTACTTGGAACAGGCACGAAATGATTTTTTACGTCACTGCCATAGTGGTCGTTGCACGAAATATTTGCCAATTCACAATAAGTGAACCACGAAATATAATGAGCGAAATCAACATACTGTAGTAAACGGAACACTGTGGGATTCCATGAAATATAGTTACTATTAATAGTACGAGGATACGTTAACCGCAAATGGTGTACCGTACCGTCAGTAAGTTACTGTATTGGAGATTCGTATGAATTTCCCGACCCCGAGCATCAATCTCTCCCATTGGTCAATTCGAAATTACTTGTTACTGATTGGCTACAATCCAATCAGATGGTAGTAGCATTTAAGAAAATCGATAATACCAATAACGCTTGAGTGGCTTAGAAACCTGTCGAGGCCGCATCATACCACCGGTAGTACATACTGATAGGTGCTTACATGGTGTACCCCGGAGTTTATCGCTACTAATACGGGTACGTACTGAGTTCTCTTGAGAGGTGCATATAATCGACGAATGGTGCAGCGCGGTCACACTGAGCTAGTTTTGTCCATCGAAATTCGGGAAGAGTCGGTTACTATTAATAGTGCAATATATCGTCAGTTCATGTATACTAACTACTATAGTAGTACGAAGTACTCGTTGTGATCCGGATACGGGAAAATTTAGGACAGTGATAATGATAGAACCAATAAATCAGTCCTTATATATACGGCTGTAGAATGGATATGTGGCTACAAACTCAACCATGTCCACACATCGCAGAGTCCAACTCGTCACACTTGTAACGTGTGAGTACATGCTAACAGTAAAATAACCCTATTGATTGTCTTTGCAGTTCACAGCATACACACATGTATAATAAATACTGTACGTATAGTATACGTACTAGTGTAGTATACGTATAGTATGCATCTTGTGATCGCAGTTTCTGTAACACATACTACTTCAAAGTCAGTTTTTTATTATGCATCCTATAGTGTAAAATACAGGAAAAACCGATAATTTTTCAATGAATGCCAGCTTAAGCTCCCTCGGTGCTGTCGCGGACTGTGAACAGTACACTGTAATGGTGGTAGAATCCAGTTTCTTTACTATCATTAATACTAGTAATTCGGAAAAGTTAAACGTATTAGTATATTGCCTACGGCACTACTTGCACATGACTGTAGCAACACCAAAGCCAAGTACTACACCTTCTAGAGGCAGAGTTGAAGCACACACTTGGCCCAGTGCATCTAACGCTCGATACCCGCCGCATTCTAACACGAGGCCCAAGACCAGCCAGAGCTTCCAGAACCCGAGGCGGATGTTGCCGTGGCAATATGCATCGCTCGTTGTGTACGTCCACGCGATGTTCCGGCCAAAGAGAAGCATGAGAGTGTACCCTTCCAGTATCTCCAAGAGCCAAATGTTGCACGGGAATAAGAGGACGCGAAGGACTGCCGACGGCACGACTGCACGGTACGCATACAATAGCACCGGTGTATACACCACATTGGCCTACAAACAAGATAAATGATGGAACGCTGCATCAGCCATGCATACTAGTTCATCGTACCCAAAACTGCGCCCATGTTGTGTGGCCCGCGCGGCACGTTGGTTGGAACGGGGTGAACCTCAGGTCTCCGTTTTCCAACTCGGTGGTGTTGGCATACCATGTAAACTCAATGCATGCAAACGCCGACGCAGCAAACACACACGAAAATTGCACAGGTAGAGTGTAAGCCGCATACCAAGCGATTCCCATGCCAACCACAACGGCAGCGCCTACCGGAGCCGGAAGGCGAAGCATGTTGGTGCTCAAAGTTGGTGTTGCATCAACACACCAAAACAGCCGTACAATACCGGATAAAACTGATCCACTCCGGATAAATCATCAAATTGGATGCAGGTGGAAGTGGTGCTGCTCGAGAAGGCGCGGGCAGCGGCGGACAATGGAGATTGGGAACGCGCAGAGAAGCTAGCAGAAGAGAGTGTCCATCGGATATGCGACCGTCTCCATCTAGGAAAGTGGAGCGATGTGGACATTGAATGGCGGCAGCGCTTTGCCTGTGCTTGCGAACTGTTGGCAACTTCATATCTCCACAAGCCAGTGGTCGACGACCTCTCTCGAAGCCACCACCTTGCAGCAGCTATCGAAATCTTGGATACGGGGCTGCTGATGGCAGGTCCATATGGCCGACAACTCCACGCCATCATGGCCACCGTAGTCGCTGAGATGAACACCGCTTCCTCCCTTGTCGCCGACAACAGTCCACCGATCAAGAAACAGAAAACAGAAATCGGTGTGCCCTCATCGCCCATTCCACCACATCTGACTCCAGACAATCCACTATGCACACCCTTGGCACGCGTGGACGCTCCGTCCATGAACGCGTTCCTGACGTCGTACATGCATTCGAATGAGCCCGTGATCATCACTGGTACCACCACCGCCACCTATGTGCCATCTAAGTGTTTCAACAGGGGCCATGGACCAGTGGCCAGCTTTAGGCAAGACGCACGGCGGACAGCGGCAGTGGGCCAACTTGAACTACCTTCGTCAAGTGGCCGGGCGACGCTCAGTTCCCATTGAAGTAAGTTCACTTGGTTAAAGTGCAAAGTGACGTTTCCAAGTTCTCACATCACTTTGACGTTGTGGTATTGCTTAGATTGGGTCAAGCTACCTCGAGGACAACTGGTCCCAAACACTAATGACACTGGATGCATTCATCGATCAGCACATTTTGAAGCCCGTGACTAGTACCCCCCCACCTACTACTACTAGTAGTAGTAGTAGTAGTAGTAACGATGCTGCTGCTCCTCCGACGGGATACTTGGCCCAGCACGCCTTGTTTGAGCAGGTATGTTAGTTCTTACTCGCATTGTTTGTGTTTCGACTTGTTTAGGGTTCATATAGACTAAACGAGTAAGTAGATTCCCCAACTTCGAAGCGATATTGTCATCCCCGACTATTGTACACTCAGTGTCCGCGACGTGTGTGATTCAAACGACGACTACGACGAGGACGTGCAGGATGTGGTGATTAACGCCTGGTTTGGCCCCCCCAACACGATCTCGCCCCTGCATTTCGACCCAGCTCAAAACTTACTCTGCCAAGTTGTCGGCTCCAAGTACGTTCGACTGTACGCTGCCGCCTTGTCCGACTTGCTGTATCCGGTCCCGGGACTCCTCTCTAACACCAGCCAAGTTCAAGTGGAGGCACCAGACCAAAACGTCAAGTTCCCGAAGTTTGGGGATGCACCCTACTGGGAAGGCGTGCTCGGACCGGGCGAGATGTTGTACATTCCACCCAAATGCTGGCACTACATCCGATCGCTGGCCGTAAGTTTCTCTGTGAGTTTGTGGTGGGATAATTAACCGACGACGGGGGGGGTCGGTGGCTGGTCGATGCGACTGGTGCTAATCGAGGACTACATACTAAGCGTAGAGATGATATCCTCAAGGTAACACCAATTATGCCCCCACCTGCCTGCCTGCCTGGTCCGATAATTGACCATGTAGTTAGTCGTTCTTGGAATACTACAAAACGTTAGTACTACTAGTTCGACACATACTGTATACGTAGCGTGTTGATGAACTACGTACGTACAGTACTACACTACACTAGGACGTACTAGTAGTAATGTACTAGTACCGTGGTATTCAAAAGCTAATAACAAATCTATAAATAGACCATTGACACACCTCGTCCCATACATGGTATCTTCGCCGTTACAAGAATGGCATTGACACACTGTGGCCACGACCGCAAGCGCAATGACGTTTGTCGCGCAGAACGACCGAGCTAACAACAATGTGGCAAGCAGATCGGCGACTCGAGCGGCGCCAGAAGATGCTTGGATGCAGTCCATCAAGGACCAGCCATTGCATGACAGCCACCAAGACAACGCGAGTATCATCGTGCCCAGCGATTTCGCAGCATTGTTTGAACTGTTACGCGACGAATTGGAATTCGACGTGCTGCTGCAGGCATTGCACGCGTGCCACAAGTTCATGACGTCGTCAACGGAAGCGGTGGCGTTGTCCAACTTTGTTGCCGACGACGAGGGAGAACGAATGTATGTGTTGTGCGCATTGCTTGGTCACACAGACTTTACCATTTCTGTGGCTGCCTCGACGGTTCTGGTGCAATTGGTTCACTCGCCAAACCTCGTGGCCGCTTGTGACCAATCTGCCAAGTGCTGCTACGGTGCGGATTCGTCTTACCTTGACACGGTGAAGGCCAACGTGGAATCGACCAAGACCCTTCGACACTTGGCCGCCAACCTCGTTGCCGACAGCGTTGGTGTTGAGTTTGTTGTGCGCCAGATTCAGTCTGGCCTGGACCAGAGAAGCAACGAGGAAGGGGAGAAGGCTGCGACGCCGTGTGTTTTGACAGCCCTCACGTTGTTGGCCCAACTCACCGAGGCATCTCGCACCCTTGCCGAAAGCATCTTGCCGTGGCTCGGTCTTGTGTGTGAAGAAACGCTGGAACTGCTCACTCGTCCAGAAATGTTAGCGGTTGTGGGGTGTCTGGCAGGATGCTTGGCGCAGGACTTGCCTGCACTTTCCCCCGACAACGTTGGTGTGTGCTTTGAAATAGTTCACCTGCTGCTCAGCGAACAACCCCCTTCGAATTGGCTCGCCCCCACGTGGAGTTTGGACAATGTGGTTGTCATGTTGTGTCGATGGGAAACCCAAGGCACGTTTTCGGCGAAGCCTACTTCTACCATTCAGCGCTTGTGGGGCTTTGTGTGTAAGCATGTTGAACAAGGTCATATCCTGCAGTATGTGTCGCCTCCTGAGTTGATTTTGCTTCTGCAATGGTATCAGCACCCCCGTCGAGACGGCATTCGTCCCCATCACCGAGCGGCGCCTTTGACAATGCAGTTGATTGGGTTCCTACACCCCCGCCACATGGATCGCCTTGTTATGTGGCTTCAACTGGCAGGAGAAGATTTATTCACCCCCATGCAATCCCTGGTTTGGTCGTTGTTGAGCTGGCCTAACCTCTCAAGTGAAAGCCAGGCCGCGCTGGTGCACTCCAGTTGCCTGGCCGATACCATCGCCTTCCACGACATCGCAGGCGGACAATGTGATCGCATCGTCTCGTGGGTTCGACAATTGTTGGACCATGGCGACGACGTATTTTGTTCCCAATTTGCTGGCTCCAACTGTAGCTTTCGACTGCTTGTTCAGGGGCTGATGGAATCTCAAGACGAGATCGTATTAGACGACGCCCTGACGATTCTATCGCACGTGGCCAAGCCTCGCTACTATCGCCCCCTTCAACAAGCAAAGATCTTGGTCGCGTTGGAGCGCGTGATGGCGCCCAAGTGTCCCCCTCAAGTGCAAATCAAAGCGGTCAAATGTCTGGGCCTACTCGTGGGCGAATCATATGCCATGTTTCACGACATGTTTGTCACGACCAACCTATTTCCCGCCCTCTTGGGGTACATGAAAGGCGACAATGTCAAGGTTGTTCGACCTGCATGCAAGGTGATGTACCGACTTGTGCGGCATCCGTACCTGGAAGGCACTCCAGCCTTGGCCACAGCCGTGCCAGTCCTCACTGCGCTACTGATCGCCAGCGATAGCATCGTTCAGTCGTATGCAAAGGCAGCTCTTTTGCGCCTGCTGAGTCGGTCCTCGTATTGCTTAAACGAAGTGCATTGCGTGTTGGCCAACCTTCTACAATCCATGGACTACTGCGAAGGGATGGCTCTTATTGAAGTGTTGTACGATTTCCAAGTGACTCACCAGCGCTACAGCGTGAAGAAATGTATTGCCACAGGCACAGCATGCGAATCGAATGCAAAATCTCAACCACAGGAGTAACTAAAGTTTAACCAAGTCTCCACCAGAGTACTACTACTACAGGAGTACGTACGCTTCGAGCTACGTCATGTAAGCCAGAGATAAGATACTAGTAACACATTCGCAGCAGTTATTCAACGTTGTCTTAACAACCGGTACATAACTAGTTACACACGGTACATTCATGCATCCGCCAACCCCCCCTTCATTGATGTGGTGGTTGTGCATTTGTATGACCTTGCGTTTTCCATTGTCACAGCGATTTGCCAATGCTCTCGTTTTTACGTTTATTTAAAAGTATAACTCTTTGGCACTTTCACGAAGTCTGTTTGCCCGAGTGGTCTAAGGGGTTACGTTCAGGTCGTAATGTATTCGTACGCGTGGGTTCAAATCCCACAGCAGACATTTATTTTTCAGTTTTGATGGGCCTGTTGCCCTTGAGGGTTTTACAGCTCCGGGATTCATTACATTGGGATATCGTTCCATGCGGGTACTGTATTGATGTTGTCCAGTCGATATTGTTCAAGGATTGAGTCATATTATTGTAAAGTTAGCTCAAATCACTTCAAAATTCGTGAGTGTGGTAACTGTGCAAAGTACTACCGTAGACGTACAGCGTCGTTTGCGTCTTTGCAAGTGATAAAGCTCCCCGGTGGCGACCGAAGGGATGGCGTTGGTGGCTTAAATTTCAGCATGCAGCGAGTCCGATATGGCCAAAACGTGGCGAAATTGCCTTGTATGGAGTCAACTGGAACGAATAGTCCCTGTACATTTCAGTAGGGGGTGTTATTAGGAAGGGGAACCCATGTAGTTGATCGATCAAAGGTTTGATGGCCCTGCAATGTCCACGGCATCGCCATGCTCGTCTTGGATGCCAACTGCAAATATGGTGACCGTCCGCGGTGTTGCATTAAAAGAGAAGTCACAGCCACAGTTTGCAAACTACTAGTAACGGTACTGTATAGTGAAGGGAAGCAACCATGTCCGGTATACATGTTTGACGTTGCTGGGATTCGCTCAATTTCAAGCGGTCCACGCGGGCGAGAATACACTCACGTGCGAATTTGTTGTCAAAGATTGAATTAACGTTACTCGTGTAATGCTTGAGGTGGGGGGGGGTTACAAGGGCGATCCCCTTGTATTATACCAATGGACAAAAGTGAACGTCTTACCTAACGGCCACGCACACTGGAGTGTCGTCCTGACTACGCCACCAAACAGTAAACACGAGTGCAAGTCAAACCATATCTTCGATTGGCCAATTGAATTGTTGCGTTTACGTGATGCAACTGAAAAATTGCCAATCAGATGCAGTTTACTGTATCATAAACTCTGACTAGAGTTTTAAACGTAATACGTTTTATAAATAAAACGCCAATGATCAGCCAACAGGTTCAGTCAGTTCCACAAGACAACAGACACTCCGGTATGTACTCTGGGGACGGAGATCTCGACAATAATACAAAGCTAGCATAAATCGTTTAGACATATTGTTTTTTCTTGACGAAGACAGCATGGGGACCTACCACATAAACACAACAGTAACTTATCCAAGCGCCCATGTAAAATACCGCTAGGTTAAATATCTATTGCTGGACCAATTCATCACAAAATTTGAATCTGAGACGTAGAATTTCTTCTAGAAGTCAGAAAATTTTGAGAAAAGTTGGTAGTTTATAGATGACGTGCACCATATTAATAATACCAGTTAAAACGCCAATTCAAAAACTGGGTTTATTATGGAGATAAAAACGCGAAGTATTTCACAAAGTTCACCCTCGATCTTATTCATGTCATTCGACAACTGTCCTCGTGAAGATCATGTCTGCTCCTTCCATCCCTTCTACCATGCGCGCCGTGGGACTCCACGCTCACTTGCCCATCGATGACCCCGCCTCCCTCGTCGACCTTGTCGTTCCAGTGCCCACCATTGCTGGCCACGACCTGCTAGTCCACGTCCATGCCGTGTCTGTCAACCCCGTAGACTACAAGATCCGGTCTCCCAGCGGACAAGCGCCTTTAACGGCCCCTAAGATCCTTGGTTACGATGCCGCCGGCGTGGTTGTTGCCGTGGGATCGGACGCGTCCCTCTTCAAAGTTGGAGACGAAGTCTTCTACGCCGGAACGTGGACGCGCAACGGTACCAATGCCGAGTACCACGCCGTTGACGAGCGCATTGTGGGACGCAAACCCGCCTCGCTCAGCTTTGCGGATGCGGCGGCCTTGCCACTGACCAGCATCACCGCATGGGAAGCCTTGTTCCATCGCCTTGGAGTTCCGACTTCATCAGCTGGTGCCGCTACCACTTCGACCAAGAAAAATGCATCGGTGCTCATCCTCAACGGCGCTGGAGGAGTCGGATCGATC